AGTTTCGAGCGATAAGGTGTGGAAGGCGGTGCCGCTTCCGCAGCCGTTTCACACGGCTCTTGAGACAGGCGACTGGGTGAAGGCGCTCCACGTTTATCAGCGGCATTCTTATCATGCACCGCCCGTTGACACCTTTGACCTCTTGAAGGCTGTCATGCACGCAACGGGTGTGCGAGTGGATGACGTAAAGAGCCGATTTAATGAGAAGATACGTCTGTCTGCCATTCTACAGAAAAAAACACCTGACGAAGTGGAGTGGAGTGTTTTTTGGGAAGCCCTAAACAAAGGTGACTCAAAAACGATTAGTGCCGCCCTTATGGGCGCTCGTCTATCAAGCATCACACAACAGATAACCACGGCGGAGGCATGTGCTGTATTGTTGAAGTCGGCTGGAGAAGACTGGGAAGCCAAATTAGTGGACAATTTTCCATTTGCGACCGTGACGCGTTGCAATCTCGTTCATGTGGCGTTGGCTCAGAAGCGGTGGGACGTCGCGGTGGAGCTTCTTCGCAATGTGAGGATAAATCGTAGTGACGTGATGACCCTGTGGCCACTGATTGAAGAGCTGGACTGGGAAAAGGTGCTTCTCCTCATATCAGCGTGTCCAAAAAATTCAGTACCATTTGACCTTGCGTTACGCCACATTCTTCGCGGCGGATGCAGCTTGCAGTACCTTGCGGAACATTTGGAGAATGCGCGTGTTCTTGGTGATGCGGACGTTGTGGCTCCACTTCTAGCTCACGCGGTGGAAATTGGCGATTGGGACTTTGTTGCCAGAGGAATGGAACATCTTGTTGACATTGGGCAGATAACGCAGCCGGCGCGCGAGGTGTTTGAGCACATGGGAAAGATACACGGCATGGAAACGGTGTGCGCTCGCCTGGAGGAGCATCGCATTCCCCTTCATCATGTGACAGTGGAAAATTTGGAGAGCCTCAGACTGTGAGTGCTGAAAGAAGGGGAATAAAAAGAAGAAAAACGGAGCTCGAGGCGAAAGTGACTGTTTGGGTGGCGTATATTTCTTTCTTACGCTTCTGTCATTTTTTCTTTTTTTTTTTTTTTTATATCACATGCGATGTTTTTTGCTCACATTTGTTCCATTCAGACGCAGCAATGCGTGAGGTGGTCTTCTGGCAGCCGTCACCCTCCTTTTTTGAATCGACGCCCCGTGACAATTTCTTTGCGTTTTGTTTGCCTCCCTCCGTTTGCAATTTATGTACTCCGTTTACTCTTTTGCAGTGAATTACATGAGAAGGACCACTGAACCCTTTTTTCTTTTCCTTTAATTATTATTATTGTTTTTTGCGCAGTAATTCTAAAATAAAAAATACGCGAGCCATGCGGTGGGTGATAGTTGTATTTGCTTTATTTGCCTTCATGGCTGTGGGATCTCTGGCCCAGCTCGATACACTGCCGTTCCTATTTGTCTCCAAGTCCGTCTCAGACGACTACGTGGTAGCTGGTAACAGCGTGGAGTTCACTGTCACTGTTTACAACTACGGCCAGAGCCCTGCGATGGATGTGACAGTCACAGACATTTTGGTGGACGGCACGACACGTACAAAGCGTGTAGAAATGCTTTCCTTTGGAGAGAGTGCCGTGCTGAAGTACACCGTAATACCGAAAGAGCTTGGCAACTACGTTGTTGGCGTTGCAGAGGTGACATATGCCCTGGAGAAGGGGAAGCCAGCTACACACAGAGCGTACAGCAATGTCATTCGCGAGAGTAATGCGCACTTCCTGGGAGAAAAATACGACGACGAGAGTTTTCGTGGAGTTGTGTCGGTTGTAACGCGGGAACGTTACGATCGTTTACACAAGCGGTATGTTCGTGAAATTGTGGCGTATAGTATACTTTGCGTCATTCCCGCGCTTTTTCCTTTTTTTGTTTACCGCGCGGAGCAAAATCAGGTGGAACTTCTGATTCGCCGCTCCAAACTCAACAAGTAGCATCCATTACAATGTTGCGGCTTGTAAACGCCAGAGGGGTGTAAATCATGTGCGCGAGGGCTTCTGTGTGATGAAGGTGGATATTGTGCTGGTCCACCTTCACAAATGGCCTCTGAAATGAAATGAAATGAAATGAAGGAAATGCAGAGAAAAGTACATACATCCGTAAAAAGAGAACTGAGAAGGAGAATGATGAAAAGGAATAAAAAAGGTTGCGAGGCTGAAGAGACAGAAGGAAGAATAGAGATGTATTGAAAAAGAGGGAAAGAACAAGATGAAACACCGTAAGAATACAGACATGTGGAGTAAAGGAAGGAGAAGAACTGAGAAAGGCGGTGTGTGCGCTCATTCTTTTAATTCCACTTGGTTTATTCCCTCTCACCTTGTTGCATGCATATACTTCTTTTTTTTTTTTTTTTTCATGTGTGTATGTGTGTGTGTGTGTTTGCTCTCCGTGGCTCATAGTTGCGGTGAGTGTCTGTCCGTCGCTTCTCTCAGCTGCTTTTCGCTCACGGTTTTTTTTTTTCTCCCTTCCTCACCTCTTTTCATAATTTTCCCTGTGGTGCTGCGCCGGTTACGCCAACGGTAGCAATCAGCACTTTTTGTCTTTTACTCGACACAAAAGTGGTGGCATGACGACGAACGCCGTACGTGACGATTCAGACAGAACGCCTCCACTGTTGGGCCTCGTTCCGAGCGATCACGGCGCGCCCAAGGACGGCGTTAGCGGCGTGAATCTTGAGCGTAACAGGCGGAGTATAGCCGCGTGGCACCAAACGAGGCTCAACAACATTATCCTTGAGGAAATACGGAAGGCATGTGTTTCGCGTGATGATCACCGACTGATGCTAAAACAACTCATCTCCACTGCGTACCACAAGGATCCACAGCGCAAGGCCAACATTGACAAGTGGAAGGGCATTATGCTGGCCGTTGAAAAGGAGTATGTTGGCGCCAACGCACTTTTTAGTATCTCCCCCGACCCGTACCAGCGGGTGCTGGCGAAACTCTCATCGATGATGATATGGGACGGGGATGTGCGTCACTGGGAATACGGCTACTGCACCGAGGAGATTGCACGACGCCACTCACGACAGATAGAAGTACTGACACAAATACAGCGGGCGGGGAAACATTTTCTGAATGTGTGACGCTTATTATTATTATCATTATTATTGTTGGCACTGCTCTCTCTCGTAGCAAAAAGGATGGATACGACGCAAATCGGGTATGAAAGCTTATATGCAAAAACCCAATCTAAACACGCACTGTTAAATAGAAGGAACCGAAAAAGAGGAAGAATAAAAAGTCTGAAAAAACGAAATGAAAATAGAAAATGCCATCACTTGAAGAATTTTAGAGTTTTTTTTTTTTTTGTTTGTGTGTGTGTGTGTGTGTGTGTGTGTTGAATGCGCGATTATTTTAACCTTGTTGAAACGCTTTTCATTCCCTTTTTGTTGACCGGCCTCCTGCCTGATTTTTGCCCATGTGCAAAGAAAGGTTCATATTGCACCTTTATAAAGAGTCATGTTTTTTTTTTTTTTTTTTTTTAAGTTGTTGCTTGTGCGTCTCACTGGCTTTTTGTGGGCGTTTGGGATGAAAGGGAAAACCGGCTTTTGTAAAGTGCGCCACTCTGATTGGGGTGGCAGGGTGGAGGGAGGGAGAATGCGCTCCCAGAGAAATAGACAATTTGAAAGAAAACGCCTTTGAAAGGGAGGGAGAACACGCAATAAAATAAAATAAAGTTTGCATATATAATTGACGCATAGACAAATGAAAACGAAAGTAATGGACTTTTTTGCCTCATCCCTTTTGCATGTGAAAGGGGCGTTGCTCAGATGAACAATTCTTCTTTTTTTTTTTTTTTTTTTTTTTGCCTGTTAATTTATTTTTATAGAAGAGATCCACCGCATTGAGTCTTTGAGTTTTTGTGTCGTTCAGCACGTTTCGTGGGCGAATTTCTCTGATGAAGCGGCTGACCCCGCAGATGGCTGCGGCCTATACCCCCAAGGATGTGGAGAGTGAATGGTATGAGTGGTGGGAAAAGTCTGGCTTCTTCCGCCCTGCATCGGATTTGGGCCGCAAGCATAATGGCAACACGTTTGTCATTGTATCCCCTCCTCCCAACGTCACTGGATATTTGCATCTTGGCCACTCCTTGACAGGTGCTGTGCAAGATACACTTATTCGATTCCATCGCATGAAGGGCGACAACACTCTTTATGTTCCTGGCACAGACCACGCCGGTATTGCCACACAAGTGGTTGTGGAGAAACGTCTCTTGCGAGAATCCGGTAAGACGCGTCATGATCTTGGTCGGGAAGAGTTTTTGAAGCGTGTGTGGGATTTCAAAGAAAACCATGCACACGTGATTACCCGTCAACTTCGACAAATTGGTCTCAGTTTGGATTGGACACGAGAGCGCTTTACGATGGATGACCATTGCGCAGGTGCGGTGCTGGAGGCGTTTGTGAAGATGCATGAGGATGGTCTGGTGCACCGCTCCACTCGTCTTGTGAATTGGTGTTGTGCACTGCAAAGCGCCATCTCCGACTTGGAGGTGGAATTTGCCGATGTGCCAAAAAATGCAAAAATTGCCATCCCAGGATACGACAAGAAGGTCGATATGGGTGTTTTGACGCACGTTGCCTACAGGTTTGAGGATAGCGATGATGAGATTGTTATCGCCACAACTCGACCGGAGACTATTCTGGGTGACACGGCGGTGGCAGTCCACCCGGATGATGAACGGTATAAGAAATATCATGGCAAACGCCTGAAGTGCCCTTTCCGTGATGAGACCATTCCTTTGATTCTCGACCCTGTATTGGTTGACGTGAGTTTTGGCACAGGTGCCGTAAAAATTACTCCCTCCCACGATCCAAATGACTTTGAGGCGGGGGTACGTCACAACTTGCCACAGTTGACAATGATGGATCTCAATGGACGGATTACCATTGATGGCCCTTTTAAAGGAATGCATCGTTTTGATTGCCGACGTGAAATTGTGAAGGAACTGGAGAAGATGGGGCTTCTGCGTGATGTGGTCCCGTACGAGTACCGTGTTGGTCGCTGTAGTCGTACAGGTGACATTGTGGAGCCACTTTTGATGCCACAATGGTTTGTTGACTGCAGCGAAATGGCCCGTAAATCTGTGGAGGCGGTACGTAATAAAGAGCTGCGTCTTTACCCTTCTTCGCACGAAG